GTTTCGGTTTTTATCGGTTCTACCAGGTCCGGTTCCTACCGATTCCCGGTTTCAAAAATCCACAAAAATATTATCCCGGTTCCAGCCCTACCAGTTGCATCGGGTTCCAGTTCCGGTACCGATTCCGGCCGGTTCTTCGGTCCATATGTTCATCCCTAACCCCCAACAGAAAAAATGTTGAATGACTATTCAAAATAAAATGAATCTAACGAGTAAACAAATAATAAAGTATGTACGGAGATTGTCAGGTATTTCTTATTCTGGGAAAAATAAGTGGAGATTGGTGGATATTTCGATAGGATTGTTAATTACCCAATCGTTCTTTTGGGCGAATTATAGGAGTAGAAGAGTTTTCTTGAATTGGATTGGATGGTTACAAGATGCTAGGATTTATTATTATTTTTTTTTTCTTTTATGATTTTGTATTTTTTTTTCTGCTAGCTTGTTTGTGGTTTGTTGTTTTAATAATATTTTGGCCGTTCGAAAAAAAAAAAGTTTATATGGAACTCTGTTCGAAAATAATTAAACACTAACTTCATGACGTTTCATATAATTGCACATCAATACACAAAGGAATCCACGTATCGGCATAATGAGAATTGAATGGCAATGAATTATAATTAGTTTAGTTACAAATTTATGGATCAGAAGTGTTACCTATCGAGGAAAAAAAAAGGTTTAGTTACCTATCGAGGAAAAAAAAAAGGTTTATAAAAATCAACTACGTACAATAATAGGTGATAAATAAATTGTATAAAAATTAATTATCGGTATAAGTTTCGTATTTTATGTAAAGACTACTCTCCGTGCTACAAAAACCAATTTCGATGATTTTCAAAAGTTACTTACTTAAAATTCAACTATAAATTAATTACCCTTGTATATATCAAATGCTACGAAGACCCCAATAGTCTATACCATGGCTATGATGAAATCTATAGTTACACTTCTCCCAATATGCTTTGCATTTTTGATATCACATGGGCTATCGCAAAAGTCACCATTTGTTTCTCCTAGAAATTCGAACTTCGTCGATAATAAGGAGTTTGTACTGGAATGTTGGTCGTCTTTATTTGACCTAGGGTGGTGCTATGGTGATCTTGTAAGGGCTGCAGAAAGAGGCAAAGTTGATGTTGGTATCGCGCCAACCTGTTGCAAAGCTGCCAGAAGCATGGATTCTGGGTGTTGGTCGAACGTATTTCCTTACAATCCATTCTTCCCTCAAGTCTTGCAAGCATACTGTTTACGTTTTCCATCAGCACCTCCTCCACCATCAGATGCACGTTCAAGAACACCAGAGCTTCAGGGACCATCCATGGCATCTCCTCCTACACCGGTGAACACAGATGTGCAACCACCAAAGGCTGAGGGACCATCCATGGGGTCTCCTACACCGGTGAACGCTGAAGTGCCAACACCAAATGCTGATGAACCAACATCCATGGAGTCTCCTACACCGATGAATGAAGATGTTCCAACACCAGATGTGGTAACACCAAGTGCCGAAGGACCAATCTTTCTCGCACCATTTGCTCTACCACCGTTTGCACCATCTCCAATTACTGAGGGACTGTTCATGGATATGCCAAGGGGTGAGGGTCCAGTTTAACAGCCATTGATTCATGCACTTTTAAATTAGTTTGAACTTATATGAAACGATAGCATGTTATATGAAATGTTGTTGCAAACATAATTACGGGCTTTTCCATATAGCTAATTAAATAAGGTCTTATCTTTATATATATATTATATCTAATTCTTTGTTTTTCCATATACTCAAAGTTACTGAAAATAAAGCTAGCTAGCATGATTAATAATCATGTAACTAGAGATTTAGTTTGTGGTTGATCGGGTAGTCACTGATTAGCAAACTTACACATGTTTTGCGTCAAATATAAATCCGGAATGTTTCAGTATTGCTTTTAATTAGATCAAATTTTTATGGCGCCTAACCGGTCTAACAGTGAATTCTAACTAATACATAATGAATTTTCATCTAAGAGCTTTTAGCCCAACACTATGTGCTGTTGTTTCCCTCTTTAAGATTGAAGGTTCAAATTATGTTGCGGATATTGGTGAAATTAGATTTGTTAGATTAGAAGAAAATTAGATTTGCCAATAAAAAAGAAAAACATAATGCACTTACACTCGAAAAAATTACCCAAGGACAAAATCTATGGGTAATTTATCCAAACATTTTCCATTGATTTTTCACCACTGGAAAAAAAAAAAAAAAAAACTTTAATTTATAAAGTATTTCTCACGGATTACACTGATTGCCCATAGAAAGAAATTTGTTGAAAAATAAGGTCGTCACCCACGACTTATCCATTAAGTTCAAAAAATAGGAAAATGCTTCGGCATGTGTTGTATAATCCGTGAGTAATTTTGTAACACCCATTGTTAAGATATTTTCCATTTCAACCCCTTGTGTGAAATTTATTACAAATTGGTCCTAAAGCCCCAATGCGGGGGACAAGTGATTTTTCTTGTACGTTGGGCTTACTCTTAGGTACGTAGAGAGTACGTGGCATAAGCTGTTTGTACAACTTGTATTTGAGTTTGTATCTCAACATTTAAGGCTAAATGTTTATTAAGGTATATATATAGTCCGAATCCAATAGGAACCCAAAAATTAGTAGGAACCGCGGCGACTATTCTCCACCAATCACTTCGTCAATGACACAAATGTCAAACCCATTTACTTGGTCGTGACGCGTTCACACACGACGCATGTGTATGGAACGTAATATGGACTCGAGTGAATAATCATGTGTGAGTGCGACGAAGGTCCATGGAATGTCATTTATATGAGTTTTTTTTTTCTTTTTCATTTATTGTATTCTTTTTTAATTTTTTTTGTTTTTCGTTAAAAAATTCATTTTTTTTAAATAGGTATATGCTCGGTATTAATGTTTTTAATTTTTTTATGCTTTTCGTTTGTTTTAATATTTTTTTTCTTTTTTGATATCTTTAGTACACACTTGAAGATAACATGGATGTATTATTATTATTTTTTGCTTTTTTTTTTGTGTGTTTTTGATTTTTTAAACTAAATGTCTTTGAGTTTTTAATGTTTAACAGTTATAAATTTTTTAATAAAAAGAATATTAATGATCATAATACTTTCCATTCACACTCTGTTTTAAATCATATTATTTATGAATCATAAAACTTTGAATCATAGTATTTTGAATCATAACAATATTATACATCATATATTTTTAGAACATTTTAATTTAGATTATAATATATTGAATTAAATAAAGTTTTTGTTCAATACAACATTTCAATTATTATATTTTTTGAATTATTTAATTTTGAATCATAAAAAATATAATCATTAAGGAACATTAAATATTTGAATCAAAATATTTTTAGATCATAACATATTAAGGATATTTTGAATCATCTCTATTTGCATCATATTATGTTCAACATTTTTTTTAAAAACTTTAATCTTTTAAAATCAAGTTTGGTATTTAAAACACCTTATTTTTTTAAAAAACCATTTTTACAAAGTCATTAGAAAAGTGAGTAGAAGTATTCTTTAAATTTTTATTATTTTTAGAGAATTTTTTTTTTTCTAAGTTTTTTTTATAAATATAAAAAATAAAAAAATATAAATTTTATTTTTAAATTTTCATGATTATGCTCATTTTATAAAGACTTAAAGAACTGTGGTTTTTTGAGATTTTTTTCAAAGAAAACAAAAGGTTATGGCCAAAAAACTAACCGGGTGCATAAAAAAAACCCACCGGCAGTAGGACATTTGTCATGTTGGGTGTGACACGTGTCAGCTCTTGAAGTGGTCATATGGCCAAATTTGATTTTCATTTTTTTTTCTTTTAATCTTTTTGCTTTTGTCACTTGTATCATCCAAACAATTAACCTCCTTCGGAAATTATCAAATATCGCAATTAATTACGAAAATGTCATATTATCTTACGAGATTTTAACGATAAATAAAATCAAATCCTAACCATTTATTTTTTCAATCGTAGAGCCAAAAATTATCCTTGCGGATCCTACTATTTTTTGAGTTTCTACTTAATCATATATATATATATATATATATATATATATATATATATATATATATATATATATATATATATATATATATATATATATATATATATATATATATATATATCAGTGTTATAAATATCAGCCTAGGCGGCTACCTAGGCGGCGCTTAGGCGTTAGGCGGTCTACAACCGATTACCATTAGGAGTGCTTGGCGGAAAATGATCAATATCGGTCAAACTCAGGCTAGGCAGTTCTTGGCGGTCCTTGACGGCCCTTGGCAGGAAGATTTTACAAAATTCAAAATTTCGAAATTTTAAAACTTCAATATTGTAAATGTTTAAATATTCAAAATTTCAAATGTTATACCAAATATTTCAAAATTTAAAAAATTTAAATTTTCAAATACTATTTTTTTCTTATGATATATTAAGTTATAAAATAGTTTTATTAGTAATTTATGGTCCCCGATTAATCCTCTGATTAATCCCCGCCAAACTGATTAATCGTTTGACCCCAGTCGACCGCCAAGCTACTGTCAAACGATTTTTACAAAGTTGAAATATATATATATATATATATATATATATATATATATATATATATATATATATATATATATATATATATATATATATATATATCATCCACTCTAAACTAAAAAACTGTTTCATCTAACATTTTACTTATCAATAAATATTCGAGACTTACCATCTCGCTCTACCCTTTTCTTGGTGACAATAACCCTTTAGCTGTAATTTAATGAAAAGTAGAGAAAGCATTATCAATGCATAAAAGTATTATAATTAAATAATGAAATCAAGCAAAATCCAAAACCAACATACTTTTAGGTCTACAACTAGATAGGACTATATTTTGGGACTAAAAAAAAAATTCAAAAATCAAAACACAAAAATTAATAATATGATTATTTGACTATGAAACAACCAACAATTTGTTAAGAGACAGGAAATATACTCGTCTTTTACCTAATCCCTAAAATTAATAAATCAATGTATAACATCCAACTTTGATTATAAGCTTTGGACTTTCATTCTAAATGCCATTAAAACAAAAGCAACAAAGTATACTGTTATTTTTGGTATTTAGCAAAACAAAAGAGACACAAATTAAATCAAATAAAACACATACCTACATAGATTTTTTTTGTAAAACTATTAATACATACATGCACACATACACACATGTGTTGGAATTCTAAGTCGAGTAGGACTTGGAGACCAACCTAGTTTTTAGGAAATCATAAACAAGTTGGTTTCTAGTTTCCTACTTGTAATGTAATTACAAGTTGGTAGTTAGGATTATATATACATTGTTTTATGTCGAGCTATGATCATTGGAAAAACATTGTAAACACCGTGAGTTTTGAGTGATATTCTCACAATAATCAAAGAGCTATTTTGATTAATATAAATGTGTTTACATATTCTGATCTTTAATTGGTATCATAGCCAAGGAATCGAAGGATGTGAGATCGATTTTGTTACCTGTTGACAAGCTAGGTCAACATGTCAGATGGTGAAGATGGTGCACAACCCCCTCCGGTGAGAGTGAAGGAGATTGGGTCAACCACTATAGCGTGTCCTATGCTGAACCCAACAAATTACACGATCTGGTCACTAAGGATGAAGGTAGTTCTCAGAATCCGTAAGGCCTGGACTGTAATAGATCCTGGAACAGAAGAGAATTAACAGAAGGATTACCTTGCAATAGGATTGCTGTATCAGGCAATCCTAGAGGATCTAATCATGCAAATCGGAGATGTGGAATCTGCCAAGGGACTCTGGGAAGCGATTAAGGTGAGATATGTAGGTGTTGATCGTGTGAAAGAGGCTGGATTATAAACGCTAAACGTTGAATTTGATTAACTGAAGATGCTGGAGTTGGAATCAATCGATAGCTATGCCAAACAATTGTCTGGTATCGCCTCGAAATCAGCAGCCCTCGGAGAAACCATTGATGAATCAAAGTTGGTAAAGAAGTTCCAAAAAACTCTACCCCGATCAAAGTTCATCTAGATCGTTGCCTCCCTTGAGCAGGTATTGGACTTGAAGACGATGGGATTTGGAGATGTCACCAGAAGGCTTAAAGCATACAAGGAAAGAATAAGGGAAGAAAACATCAGTGAGGCAGATTAGCGAGGGTGCTATCTGTGAAATCGATGACTGAAGGAGGTGGCTCGTTGGCAGGTGGAGGTAACTCATCGGGAACAAAGGGAAAGTGGAAAGGATCAAATGGGTCATCCGAGTTAAGTCAAGCTAATAGGCCACACGGGTTGAACAAAACCAAGTTAGCCCAAGAACAAAAGCCCAATGCTAATTTTTATTTATCTAAACCCAATTCCAATAATTGCAAAAAATGTAATTGTTGTTGTGACAAGAATCAGAAAAATAGGGAAAAGACCGATCTAAGGTGATTTGTTTTCGGTGTGACAAACTGGGTCACTTTGCGTCTGAATGTCCGGAACGACTCCAAAAATTACGAGAAGGTGATTTTTCAGAATGTGACGACAGCGACAAGTCCGTGTTCTAAAAACCGGATCGGAGTTGAAGAATTCTA